TATTTTGTAAGTGAAATCGTTTGAGTAGATTTAACACAAATATTTGCATTCAACTTCAATGAATTCCGTCGGAACTAAGCCGGGAACGATTTCCATGACGAAATTCATGGAAATCAAAAGAGTGATTCGTTTACAGACAACTATTTTAAATCAGAATTTTCCAATTCGTAAAAATGCATTTATTCAGATGTATGTTATTATGCTAGCAATAAGTTCTCGGTATGTACTTAATGTTTAAAATGAATGTTTAGTGCTCGATACAGCCGGTCAAGAGGAGTTCAGTACGATGCGAGAACAATACCTCAGGACAGGGCATGGCTTTCTTCTAGTCTTTTCTGTTGTCGATCGAAACAGGTACGTATCAACTTTTTCCATTCAGAAATTTGATTTTCACCTTTCAATTATTTGACTGATTCTGCATTCATTTGTTTTTCAAACTTTTTAATACGTTTAATTTTTTAATACGATGCAGAGCAAAATGCGTGTAAATTCGCAGTGGGGCGAGGAACTTGTCGTTTGTTTTTGCTTAAATAAAAGTGCTGCAGAAAACTGGTTTTGACTCATTTGAGTAGTGATGATGTTAATGTTAATGTGTAGTAATGATAGCAAATAATATTGCAGTTTTGAAGAGGTGATTCGATTACATAAAATGATATTGCGAGTGAAGGATCGTGATGAATTCCCGATGATGTTAGTTGGTAATAAAGCTGATCTAGAGGATGAACGACATGTGAGTTCATGAAGTCTTATTCACCAGAGAATGTTCATGAGTGTTCGGAATGATTGGCACAAAAAATTATGCGGTTGATATTGAGATCAGGATGCACTGCTAGTCACTATCAACAAAAAAATCTTCAGCAATACTTTATGCACTACATTGAAATAACTTTGCTTCATGACACACCTTCAGAAATTGATCTATATTTCTCGAAGTGTTTAGTTTCCTTTGATACTATGTATAATTTTCTGATAAACGAGAGTATAATGAAGCTGATGTTGTGTAGAAACCATTGTGCTACTGAATAAAGTCAAAATACAGTTAATTTGCAAATTTTGTTTAGTTGATTAAAAGTTATAGTTAGTCTGAAAATATCCCTTATATTCCCATAATGTGATATCTTCATAAAATCAGCAACTTTTCT